TATGAGAAGTTTTAATTAGCCCACTTCTTGAGAAGTTGATGGTAGCTCAGCTGGTGAAGAAATTCCATGGCTTTAATGAAACTTAGCTTTCAATGCGAAGTTTATAAGGGCCTGTCGCTGGTCCTTACATAGATATATGTAGTTGGATCCAGACTACGCCTTCACACGCTGTCCCTATGATCTAGCGCGAATAACCGCAGCAACTGAAGCGCCAGCACAACAGTACTTTAAGATCCATTTTAATATTATTCTCCCATCCACCTCCCACTTTTCCGAAGTTGTCTGTTTCAATTACACGTAGAATCTCGTGTTCAGCCAGTTCCTTGTTACCACGGCAGGGANGGGGGGGGGGGGGGGCACGAAGTGGCTCACACTGCCCCGAACGTGGACGGAAGCAGATAAGCAAGGATGGAGAAAAGTGCACAGCAAGGAGCCTCATAATTCGTACTCTTCAAATATTGTTAGGATTAAAAGTTTGTGACGATGGTACATTGGTACAGATATAACGTGTATGGACAGTATCCGTCCTGTTTATATTTCAAAATAAATATAAATAGGACATTATATTTGTACTCTTGCTAGGATAATCATATGAAGGGCAAGACATGGGCGGGGCATATAGCACGCATGGGGAAGACGAGAAAGCCATACTAGATTTTAATCGAAAGCATGAAGGGGGAAAACCGCTTGTGAGATCTAAGCTTTTGAAATGGAAGGATAATATTAAAGCATAATTGCAAGAAATACAGTGTCAGGATGTTAACTGGATTCATAGGCCTCATGATAGGGCCAAAAAGCGGGCTTATGTGAACACGGTAATGAACCTTCGGGTTCCATAAAATGCGTATAATTTCCTGCTCAGATGAGCGACTGTTAGCATCTCATGAAAGGCTGCCTGTGGAGTTCTTTAATTCCATAAGACCCACCGTACAGCAGAAGTATAGGTGGGATGAATGAATGTCCTTGCCACACTTGCAACGTAGTTCGTAACAGGAGCAGTAGGTATTGAGTTTGAGTTCTCACAGCGGTCACTAGGAACAATACTGTCTTCGGGAAGTAACGCCTTGTAGTCCGGTAGAAGCTCCCCAACGTGTCGATCTGCAAATAAAGGGGGTACGTGCTGGACTGCGTGCACGAGTGCATCCTATAAAACTATTCGTCGAAGTTCTGCAGAGATTTCGCTCCTTCTGCACCTACGTTAAAGAGACGTGTTCACGATTCCCAGTTGCATGGGAGTTTGTCAGAATTAGCATTCGCAACAGTTCGTTATCGTAAACAATTATTTCGTTTGTTTTGCTAGGAGCGATTTTATTTTTCTCTTCAAGCAGTTCCTACCTCTGTCCTACCCTTCCACGCTCTCCTTTCCTTCCTCCCCGCTTGCCGATCGGTTTTATTACGTAAGAGATGACGTGGTGTTTTCCCACCTCCCTTTACGTTTCTCCGCTTTCTAAATTGCACCCCGTATTATGTACGTCACAGACTTATTGACGGTGGCGACCCAGTTGCTATGGTTACAAGAGAGGCCAGCTCAGCTGCATGTGTAGATTTTAGGTTTATGGTTCTTTGTTGGCTTGGTAATGGTTGCTAAGCAACAAATAGGACGACACGTGAGAGATACGAGCGGCATCTGAGGACATCGTGCCCCACTGTCTTTAGGAGAGGAAGATGTATGCACTGTGTAGTGGTGAATGACGATCACGATGCAAGATACAAGATATGAATAATAGGTTCACCTTGAAAGTTCACTTTTGCTAAAGCTTACGCCTATCGGTTTCTTTTTTTCTAAAACCATGTTCACCGGCATTTTTGTAATCTTATCCCCGAACTCAGAACATACAATGCCCCAGCAGGTATGCAACTTTTGACACGTTTGCCGATACTCGTCACTTGTTGGCAGGTATGGATTTCAGCTTATGCCTGTACATATTACAGAAGGCAGGAATTTAGGGGGCAGAGTTGAGGGTCGGTTCTTGTGTGCACATGTATGTAGGAAACTAAGTAACTCCTGCCGGCTTGATACCCGGTAGTCCTGGTATGCTACTGGTGTTAGTAGTTCAAAAACTACTTATTATTTTATAGCAAAAAGGCTGTTTACTGGACCTAAAAACTTTATATTCCAGTTCATTTGAAGATGTTATATTTTAGCGTCCTGTTACACTGATTCATGTCCATGGTCTATGCTGACCGTCTTACAGTGTATACACTTTTTCACCTTATTCTTCTCTTCCACACTACATGTTTCAGCACTAATGTGCCATCCTCAGGTGTCTTTATGCACGTTAAACTATTGTACTGCATGCCATGTCTTCAGTCTAAAATGACTAAAATCTGTATTCGTCATATATGTCGATGATTTCTAAATAATAAAACTTTTCAGGATTCTTCCTACGTCTCACTCAAACACGCGAATTACGCCAATCCTCTTTTATGTGAGCATTCTTCCTACATACATTTGTGTATCGTGTTCTGTGTTGTGTTTTGCTCCTGTTACTGCATGCGTTGTACTGTACCTGAGGATGGCACATTAGTGCTGAAACATGTAGTGTGGAAGTGAAGAATAAGGTGAAAAAGTGTGTACACTGTAAGACGGTTAGCATAAATCATTTGAAGATGACTATCCATTTAGTACAAGTTATATTGGTATTCTCTTGAAAGGGACATTAACTTACCAGAACTGCCAATTTGTAAAATTTGCGAAGTAAATTTAGTACAAGCCTAACTTTATTCATTCTGGTGTGTCACATTAGTTAAATATCATACAATGATTTGACAACACTGTCCAGTGTGATGCAAATGTATATTTATATGAATGCCTTTACATGTTTCGATCAGTTATGACCATCTTCAGAAGGCATAATAGCATGTTGAGGAAACTACTATCACATTGATCATAGTACATCAAGTTGAATCAAAGTTTTATATAAAGTTTTGAATTAAGATAAAATGTAGTTGAGTTAAAGATTAATAAAAATCTTAAACCGCTAAGCTTTGCATCTTTGTACCACTTCTGTCACCGTGAGATTGGGTGATATTGCCGTCCTTAGATGTCAAGGCAGTGTTGTTATATAGTTGGTTAAGAATCTGTGTTGTTGAGCTGTTTCTCCTTTTGTTATGTGTTGAGGCACACTATAATCATTTTGTAATATTAGTACAAGCCCCTTTTATTTTATTCAGATCTCTGAAGTAATTTTGGAGATAGAAGGACTCGTTATAACCTCTAATTAGCAAATGCTTATAACAGTTAGTTGGAATTATTTGTCTTTCCTGCTGTCAACGAATGTAAAGATTAGAACATATAATAATCTGAAGAAAGCAGTCTTCTGGGATTTGGCACCGTGTATATGTGGTGTTAACCGACGTTTCGGAGGAACGTCGGTTAACACCACATATACACGGTGCCAAATCCCATAAGACTGCTTTCTTCAGTAGTGACCGCTGTGAAAGCCTCAAATCTTACATAATCTGTCCTTCTATCTGAAGTGTATAGGCCTAGGTATGAAAGTTTACCTCTCACCCTACAGGGATAATCTGGTATTGAAGATATTTGATAACGGGGTACTAGGGAGAATATCTGGAGCAGGAGAGAGACTGGAAAAAACTAGTGAATGAAGGGCTTCATATTTGTACCCTTTGCCAAATATTATTCTGGTGATTAGATCAAAGATGATATGGATGGAACATGTGGGAAGTATGGGAGAGAGAAATGAATACGTGGTATCAATTGAAAACCTTGAATGGGAGAGGCAGATAGGGAGACTTAGGCACGGATGAAAGGATGATATTAAGGTGGATCTTATCCACCTGTTGGCTTCTCACCAAGGAGCCTGTTCTGTGGAATTAGGTAGTTGCTCTCTGTAATTTACTGTGTAAAAATGTTCAGTGTTTCTCATGTGGGGAGGGTTAGAATACTTCCATCGTAGCCCTGTGAATGGTAGAAGGCAATGGAAAAGGAACCCCATGCCTGGGAATGTAACTCGGCCACCCTGTCACTGGGCGACATAAATACAGGGACCTGGCCCTCAGGGTGGGGGATTGGATGCGAGGCTGATGACCTTGCTCTGAGAAAAATTACTTTTACACTACATTACATTATGTTACATCACATCACATTGCATTCCCTGGATCCAGAGTTAGTCAAAATTACTGTAGGATGTGAAGTGTGTCATATAAATAGAAAAACATGTGTACAGTGCTGGAGTTTTCACATAAGAAAACACAAGAAAACAAAGTGGCTAGACATAAAACTATTCAGCAGTACATCCACACATGTATGTACATCAATACTGTCAATTTGTGCTATTTACCAACGTTTAAAGGGATGAGTAATTTTTTACACAGTAAGTATGCATTAACAGAGTAGAATGAGAGTGTGTCAGGTTATTGAAATTTCCATTCCAACATAATATGCGCTTTTCTGAAAACATGAGAGGTTGGCAGTTGGTTTATGAAGATAGTGCTTGTGTCTTGTGTTAATATTGTGTACCACATACATCTCCAAATCTGGCACTTCTGAGGAAGGCTATGTCTCAAAAGGGGCTGTATTGATGATGATGATGATGATGATGATGATGATGATGATTACCACATCTTTTTCACTGAAAGAAATAACCCCAAACCCCTAAAATGTATGACTCATTAAACTTATGTGATATTCCTATAGGGATTATTTTGTTGCATTCATATACATTTCTCAAGAAATTTTATTTACTGATTATATTGACTGATTGGAGGTTGCAGGTGTCAGAGTGAATGGTTTTTTACAGTATGGTCAACTTATTATACCCTCCACATGTTATTCTTTTCTCTTAGGTCAAAAAATATTTCTTATTGCCCTGCTCACAAACGCCTTCAACCTCGTTCTCCCTTTTGTTTAAAAGAACAAGTTTCACATCCATGTAAATGATAGGTATATTACAGTTTTGTAAATTTTAATCTTTACATTATTAGACAGGAAATGGGAAGATTCTAAACATGAATTTTTTATTTTCTAATCATTGTAGGTGAATGATGGCACCGGAGCGGCCGGGACCAGAGGACAAGCCTGGAGTGGCTCTGGTCCAGAGAAGTGGTGCAGTCACCATCCCAGTCATACCGGTCTTCTCACTGCCTAACGCCCTAGTACATCTGAAGGTAGTATCTGTGTTGTGTCATGTACTTTATAAGCTGGTCATTGGACGTAATTCTGCTATAGAGGTATGAGTATTCATTTAACTATGAAAAGAGATGAGCAGTGCATGTAGCACACATTGGAGATATCAGAAACTCATAAAAATTGACTTGGAAAAGCTGCAAGGAAGAGATAAGTTGGGAGATCTAGGCACAGATGGGAAGATAATAATAACCCAGCAACGGTTAGACATGTCACAACATGTATTAAACTTTTACATGCCATGTTTAAATCTCCTACTGTGTTGCTGGCAGCCAGATTTAAACTGGGCACTAACGAGATTTATGTTGTAGACAATGCAATGCTAGCCTTGCTAAGCCCTACTGAAGTAGCACGTGATGACACAGTTCTGTTAAGCTCAGACAATAAAGGCTGAAGAAACAGACATGAAAATGCAGCTGGATTCATGTAGCTTATGATGGGGTTCAGTTTTGGGCTGTTTTGAACATGATAACGAACTTTCGGATGTCAAAAATGTTGTGGAGTTTCATAACTGAGTGACTGTTGACTTCTTGGGAAGGACTCTGTTCCATGTAATTGGTTGATGGGGTTCAGCTTTGGGCTGTTTTGAACATGATAATGAACTTTCGGATTTGAAAAATGTTGTGGAGTTTCATAACTGAGTGACTGTTGACTTCTTGGGAAGGACTCTGTTCCATGTAATTGGTTGATGGGGTTCAGTTTTGGGCTGTTTTGAACATGATAATGAACTTTTGGATTTGAAATATTTTGTGGAGTTTCATAACTGAGTGACTGTTGACTTCTTGGGAAGGACTCTGTTCCATGTAATTGGTTGATGGGGTTCAGTTTTGGGCTGTTTTGAACATGATAACGAACTTTCAGATTTCAAAAATGTTGTCGAGTTTCTTAACTGAGTGACTGTTGACTTAGGGAGGGCTCTGTTCCATGTAATTGGTTGTTTGGATGGTTAGTTGGGTAGGTTGAATAGAAGACATGAAGACACATTGGCACAGTAGACAAAGAGATGTACATCATAACATCACCTTAGAAAATGAACACTGTTATGCTACATGCATTTATGCAGAAAGGCTGAAGTTGTCTGTAAGGGAGAATGCCAACCCATGTCTTTTAAATGGACTTATGCCGCAGTATGCCTATAGTAAAGTAGCTGACATGCTATGTATGGAACTTTAACTTGATAAAGCCTGTATGTATTCATGATATGTGCTCCGTACACACAAGAAACTTTGCTTTTACCTTGATCATTCCATAAAAAAATGTTCTGCTAATATTGTATCTCCTTAGCTGCAAGGTTATGTCGGTTTTTATGTATTGTATGCATGAAGTGCACAGAATGCATAATGAGGTCATGTCTATTTCATGCTTTATTTACAAAATTACCAGACTGATTTCAAACAAATTTGGTATTGTGCCAGAATAGGGTCCTGGCCTGCAGAAACGGTTTTCCAGCGTGTGGCATTATGGGTTGTATTGGTCCTCCCCATACTTTACCATCTTTCTCAGATACAGAAACACATATGAAAAAAAATTATTCAAACTTATTAAGACATATAGTTTTTATATGAAACATTTTTTGATACAGTGTAAATTTAACAAAATATAGTGAGAAATAATTTCTGATTTTATTGTGATATGTGTAGTGCGATTTGACTGCCAGCATAGGGTTTAGTCTACAGTAATGCCTTGTATTTGCAGTAAACGAACATGAAGGCTAATTAATTGTATAAAATTATAAAGAATGCGTTTGGAAAATATGTTCACCATTGTTCCTAGTATTTGTTCTATTTTTATTCAAATCCTTCCCACACAGAACAACAGGATGGGTACAGTGTATTTTTCTGTATCAAGGTTGTTCCCATCATTATGCCATCGATTTGGAACTGGACTTACTAGATGGAGGACTATATGCCCAACTAATTATGGTTAATCTGCGATGCAGATATGATTTTTATGCTATTGCTCATTCATATTTTATAATATTTGGCAGCAGACACTAGACCTTAGGAACAGGTTAAATTCTTGAAATGCTTAACCGTTGTTCACTTCCATAATATTTTATTTTCTTGTCATCTAAAATCATAACAACTAAAATATACAAAACTATAATTTTATCTGTTGTTTTTTATGGGTATGAAACTTTTATCTCTTAATTTAAGGGAAGGGTGTAGGACAGGGTGCTGAGTGGTATATTTGAACTCAACAGAGAGTAATTAGCAGAAGGATGGAGAAAATTACATATCTTTTTTTTTTTATTTGTGGGTTAGGAAGAGGATGGTGCAAGCAGTGTGTTGACTGCTGTACAGGGAGAGAAACCAGAGAAGCTACGTGGAGAGGATGATGACCTCACCTCTCTCACCTGGCTGCAGGACAAGAATCTGCTCAAAGGTGATGCATTTCCTGGTTGACTGTGCTAATTATACACTATGCAGGTACTTAATTCCCTTTGATCATTGAGCTTACAAGGAGAGGTCATCAGACTTGGGTCAAGGATTTCAACAAAACTGGGATCAGTGGAAAGTAGACAGAAAAAAAAGAAGATATATGGTTTATGCTTTCATCCAACAGGCCTCAATATTTAAATATAGACTTGAAGTCTTCCCTTTAGTATGGCTAAGATACTAGTAGGCTTTTAGTTACTGATGCCCAGTAGCTGAGGGGATAACACTGCTTTATTGCTTTGTTTTTCAGTCATATGAGGAACCTTTTCACCTTTGTTATAATGAATCTCGTTGTTGAAGAACTTTACGCAGTTGACAGTATCATAGCCACAGATGCTCCCATGCCAATACTTTGTATGTTGGTAGGTTAATGCTCTTGCATTATGCTTATTGCTGTTGTACAATGTTGAATTCTACTCCTCAGTGCCAAGACCATATTGAATACTTAGGTCATGGTCTTCTGGGATATGATGTCATGTAACTTGGTCCCATTCCTCCCTCCTTTGCATTATATTGCAGTTTGTTCTGCTCCTCTCAGTCTTCTACCAAAAAGACTGAAGCTGTAAGTTCCTCCAAAATGTTGAGATTTTGAACTACACAGGGTCATAACCCAGAAGGCTCATCTGAATACTTGCCACCACGGAAACCGTAAATCACATGAACATCAAATATGTTGTCAGGTATGAATCTTCGGGCAACTGTAGGTGAGCCACAAGAATCACCAACAAGTGATTATGTGGATGACAGTGCCAGTGAGCTAGCTGATTCAACATGCTCCAGTGGTCATTCACCGAGCCCAGCCCCTCCCACCGTTGCCACTACTGCACCAAGCAAGCAGAAACATCCCTACCATTTGCCATATGATCCACTGGTGAGCAGCTCGTCTTCATTGCCCTATATAGTAATATGGTGGTAGTTTCTTAGAAAGTGTGCTTAAACTACATGGATATGCACAAGTCATAATCACAACTGTACACTTTATTAATATTAATATTGTGGGCTTTACTGAATGTGTCTTTTTTTCTCTAGGTGCATGTCACCTCAAAGCCTCCATACTCTTTCTCGTGCCTCATTTTCATGGCTATAGAGGACTCCCCCCAGAGAGCACTGCCAGTGAAGGAGATATATGCATGGATACTGGAGCATTTCCCTTATTTCAAGAATGCACCAACAGGATGGAAGAACAGCGTGCGCCATAATCTGTCCCTGAACAAATGCTTTAGAAAAGTAGAGAAGGCACCTGTAAGTTACATTGGTTTTTGATCCTTTCTTTAGAAATGTTAGAAGAACTAGGCTGTTTGAATGTACCAGACTAATTAGTAAAGTTACAGGTGGTATCTATGTCTTTTTCCTTGGAAGTAACATCTTAATGGTGATAATTATAAGGAAGAGTATTGATGATTTTTCATAATACTCACATTATGGCAGTAACTTTTATAGCGTCAATTTTGTTTGTTTGTCATAATAATGCACTTTGCTTTAAGTTACTTATGTGGACAAAGAGAGAATGTTTGTGCATTTGTGCAGTTATGCTGCTTTACTTTAAATTGTGGTATGTAACAAAGTTTTCCATTTGTAGAATTTAGGTAAAGGCTCACTGTGGATGGTGGACCCAGTGTTTCGCCCTAATTTAATGCAAGCACTTCAGAAGGCTCCTTTTCATCCCTATACCACTCTTGATAGAGTGTCCATGGTAACAAACAGGGTTCAGGTTAACAGGTAAGTATTCATTTCAAGTATAGACTGTCTAGCAAAGTGCTAATTGAATTTCACTGGAACATTTTAGTGAGAGAATTACATTTCTTAATATTCAAATGCAGTTATATCCTCTAAATACATTTTAAAAAAAAGTTGAACGAATTCAGCTGAGTAACCTTTTGAAGTACGAATTCGTTTTAAATAATGTTTAAGAATTTAGTTCCCTCCTCACAGGACACATGATACATTTTCTTTATACAAATTAGATGGTTAATTCAGTTTACTAAAATAATTGTTCTTTATTGTGGGAATCATATGAAACTTAAATACACCCAGAGGGAAGAATATAGTGTTCTTGTATGTGTGTTAAATGTAGGTGGTGCATAAGAGTAAGCACTGTGCTTTAGAAGTGTTAAAGGAAATTTCTTAAAGGGGTAATTCAAAGAAGGTGATTTAAATTAGGATAATAATTTTCACAAGGAATTTGTCAATTGGATTTAGATTCCCTTTACTAATATACAAAATTATGATAATTATGCCATGAGTTAGTGTATGTACATGTTTAGACCAGGCTAAACACTGTTACACAAAATTACATTATGGTTCTTTCTAGCTTTGTGTATGACCTCGACAGACTGCCAAGTATAGCATTGTGGTATGTCCCATGTATATAGGATTGTATCTTATTTCACTGCCTATTTTAATGCTCTGTCAGGACCATAACTGTTATGCATGTGTGAAACTTTAATGCCAAGTGTTAAAATACCTGTACTTGCATAAAGTTCTGCTAGCCCATTTTTGTAGGTGAGATAATTTCATAATTCCCTCCGGTCTCAGCACACTGTTTCAAGCCCTTGTCACACATACATTTCCAATATTTATTTTAACTATTTTTATCTGACAACTACCCTCTTACACTTGTATTGTTAAAACCCATTCCCAACAATGGTCCATTTTGTTTTAACAATCCTTTTCTCAGATGACAATACCCACTCATTGTTAGAGTCTGATGTATTGTAATTCAGTATTTGCAAGTTCAGTGAACATGTTTGTAACATATCCCCCTATATAACTATATAAAAGTAATGTAACAGTGAGATGAAAACTCCGAAATTGCACAGTTGCAGGTTACCGTAACAGAGTGTTGAGTTGCATTGTCTTAAATGAGTGTTGGTGTATTTCTGTTGTAATTGTATCTCCTTACTCTTCTTTAATTGCCATTCCTCAGAGTGTTTTGCTATATTTTCACAATAATTTATAAGCCTGAACTCATATACCAGTAGCTGTGACCATAACTTGTAAACGAAGAGAGAAAAGAAAAAAGAGACACATTTCACTTTATGTTGTTGCACTTCCTGTCCTTTAAACAGTGACTGTGGATAGCCCAAGCTGGTCTCTTTCCAAATGCATGGATCCAAGACTATATATAGTTTTTTTATTGCTAGTGGGGTGGTACTAAGTGCCTTGTACTGCGGCCACTTCTGGCCTATTGTGCCAGCCCCAGATGATAGGTGAGGGTGAGTGTGGAGCAGTTGGTGGAATGAAGATTGGCAGGGGAAACCGAAGTACTCAGAGAAAACCTGTCTGAATGCAATGTCTGAAAATTCCACAGAAAAGTATGTTTTGTTACAAAATGTTAATTAATATAACATAATCATAGTATTGACAGAATTATGAGCAGGCTTTTTGGCGAAACTGTAATGTACTGTATACCAGTGTAGACATATACCAAAGTTGAACAGTCGCATGTTATGAGGGTGGTTCAAGATTGCCTGGGCTTTATATTTTTTTACAAAAAAGAATTTATATGCCAGAATTGCTAAACTTGCACTTTTGCTCATAATATTTTCCCTTTACCATTATGTGTTTTTTCCTTTTTTTTTTTTTGCAAGTTACTGATGCCAGCAGCATAAAATATTTTACCATGACTGCAGTCAGTTCATGACACTGCATTTGAGTTCATCGTCACTTTGAAGTTTCTGTCGTCCTAGGTGCACCCTCATTGACCCAAACAAATTAAAATCAACTGGGTCTAATTCAGGGCTCTGCAGATAGCAGTTCAAGATTTCCCAGCTCATTGCTGCAGGTGTAACCTTTATCAAATTTTCCATATGCGGAGATGTGTCATGCAGGTATTTTTCCCTACCTGTTTCTCACTTCTTTTGAATTGCTTGGTGAACATCATTGCAAAGGAAGTTACTGGTACATTGTGTGCAAGATAAGCAAGATGATCACTCCTGAATCACAAAACAGCTGCTCTGGTCTTGTCAACTGAGAGCTATCTCTTGAATTTTTTGGATGGTGGAGATCCCTTATAATGGCATTCCATGCTAGTCTTCTATGACGTGAGTGAAGTGGTGCATCCACATCTTGTCGCAGGTTCCTGTTTGCTCTAGGAATATGTTTTCCTCCAGTTCAAACAAGTGCAGATGTTTTGCAGACACATCAACATGCTGCACCTTCTGATTGGACATTAACATCTTCGGGACCTACCAGACCCACACTTTCATGAACAATAAGTGCTCATGAATAATTGTTTCAGCATGTCCAACACTTATCCCACTGTTGGATGCAGTAACTTGTACTATAATTTGTTTGTTTTGCAAAATCAGCTTTTCAGCATGGCAGATGTTTGAAATCTGTACAGTTCTTGGCTGAAAATATGCATGTAACAATATCTGTTCACCATCCTGTGCATTTAACCTACAAAGAATTTCTGTTGGTATCACTTTTTCATTATGAATTTGATGATGAAGCACCATTCTTTACTAGGCGTGACTAGAACAGATGCCATCTTGTGCTAGTTTTAATACTCAGAAATGGGGTACATAGCTACCTACCAGGCAGGGACTTCAGTGTTGGCACCACATGTCCCTAAAGTAGTTTTATTTTTCTGGTGCCCACATCTTCAGGAAAAAATACTCCAGATTAACCTTGAACCACCCATGTACATAGAGTGATGTGTACACCAATTGCACACAAAAATATAGTTTTATTAGATAATAGATGTGCATAAATTATTCATGTGTTGAAATTGCAGTTGAGCTGCAGTGAGCAAACACTGGCTTCCATATTGTGGTTAGAGGTATAACTTACTTCAGCATAGGTAGTTCCTTTGATGATTAAAAATGAATGCATTCTGCCTTTCTGATTAAAGCAGTAACGTAGGTACATAGCTAAAGCAAATGTAGTGTAGCATTTAGGTTGTCAGTTACTGAATGAAGAGAGCTTTCACTTTTCCTTGTTGAAGAAACTATTGATGCTGTCTCTTTATCTTATGGAAATGACAGACTTTGATTCTCAAAACAGTCTTTACCACTACATCTCATTCCGTAAAACACTAATTGTGAAGATAAGGAATGTAGGACACAGCACGTGTCTTTCAGCACAACAGAACCAATTGGACGCAATGAGTTTATGGTGATTAAGTCCAGTAGTCGACTTCCAAACCCTGAGTTGTTCCCGTACCTTAGTCGTCGCCTTGCTGCATCAGGAGTGGAAGGCTTGAGAAATAGAGATGTGGCAGCTGACAGTGATACCACCACAACAGATGATGCAGACTCATTGGATGATGTGGATGCAGCTGCTGCAATGCTAGCTCTCAAACATGGTCCACGTGTGCTCACTCCAAAAAAAGGTATGTGTTTAATGTTATTAGATCAGAATCCAGCAGGCCTTGAAACAGAAGGCATAAGAATTTACAGATTATAATCTCTTGCATAAATAGTAGCTTTATAATAATTTAGTGTATCTATCTTTCCAGTTTGGTCTTCCAACAGATAAGGGCATGCCTTGCACTAATAGTCAGTCTTGCAGTCAAGCCCAGAGCTTGATTAATGGTACAGCTAATAGACCCTTATTGTTAGACATTATTGAGTTCACTTCTTATTAGTAGAAAATGTGTAACTTTTTGCAGCTGATTGTTATAAACGATCACAGATGAATGATGGGGTTGGACAGACATGTTTGCTGGATGTACGAAACGCACGTAAGAAGACCAGGGCTTCCAAAAACACTCAGGTAAATGGAAATCATGTGGAATGACTGTTGTTCAGTAGTCAGCATGATAAAGAAATAGGATGAACTTCTGTTGCATTCTCTGCGTTACTGTGTAAGAGATTTACAATTTCTACACATTGAATGTTCTTGATACCCAACTTCTGAGTCAAGAAAAAGAGACGGTTTGGCAGAGCATACTTTTTTGTTGTTACCATCATCAGTGTTGTTGTGATGATGTATAGTGTTTTAAAATCCTGAACTATTCACCCCCTCCCCCCACATGTTTCATACTTGCTATTCTGTGTTCCAAATTTAAGGCCCCGATTACTTTCTTACTTGAATGATGGCTCAGTTTCACTAGTGATACATTTTGGATATAGAGAAAGAGTGAAATGCCCTTGATTTCATTGTTCACAGGAGACTGAAAAATTTCATATGTTACATAGGATGTCCAGACAAAAGGTATCCAAAATAAAAAAAAAATCATGTCTGAGAAACTAATTGTCATACACATATCCGGTTTATGTCATCGGACAGGAAAACTCTGAAACTTTTTTCTCATACACATCTTATGTGCATACGCTGCGATATTTTTGCTACCATGTTAGGGGTGAGATGGCTTTGATATGAATTGGCATAGGTGGGCCAATTGCTTGGCCTCCTAGGTTGCCAGATTTTTTCTTGTGAGGTTATGTGAAGAACATTGTCTACCAGGTTAAGATCAACGACCTTCAACACCTGAAAGCCCACATAAGGGATGCTGTGGCTACAGTAACACCAAGCATGCTTCAAGCCTGGATATTTGTTGTGCCACCGAGGGAGCCCACATTTAAATTATTTGAGAAAGTTGTATATGCAGAAAAGAAACTTTGATAATTTCCCTTTGTAATGGTGTAACCCATTAATGTGTATAATAAATTCTTTCCTAGATATAATGATTTTATTTTGGATACCTTTCATCAGGACCCCTGTATATGAAGATGCATGCATCCTTTTACTGGGTGCAGAGGCTTATTTGTCGGGTGTCCTGAAATCAAAATATTGTGATGTGGGGGCTCAAAAACAGAACAATGGAGCCAGAAGAGATGGCTGTTGCTATGGAATGGCTCAGTAAATATGTCTCTGCAGCAACAAATACGCATGTAACAATAGAACAACTGTAGGAGGTGGTGTTTCTGTGTGGTCATTGCCGAAGCTATATACCAGGGACTGAACCTAATAGTTATATCGAGACCATGCCCATGTGGCGGCAGGTTTGAATTCCTCCACCTTAGCCTTGCAAGTTGTAGGTAGGGACGAAAAGGGAATCCATTGCCTAGGGGTATAACTGGGTGACCCTATTCCTGTGGGATATAAATACAGGTACCTAGCCTTCCAGGTTGAAGGAGTCTTGAATCTGATGCAGTACAATATGGTCATGAGTCCCATGGAACTTTGACCCAAGAATGACCGTGCTGTTGAGGGCCAGCAGCAAATGTAAATGACAGGCCCATCCTCTCATCAGAGAGGGCACCCCATAACAAAAAACCTGCAACTGTTTGACAGTAAGAAATATGCGGGGCTTGACACCAAGGCACTGACTGACTGTAAGTTGTAACTATGACTTTAGTTAGTTCTGAGTTGGAAGTGAGTGCTACCTTGTGATAGCAAGTGGTTGGCAGTGGTGGCCAGACGTGGCTAGACAGTGAATAGCCAGGGGTTACAGCCATGAGGAGCTATGAGACAGTCAGCAGCCAGTAAGAATGTGGAATTACAGTGTTTGGAGCCATTACTAAGCAACAGTTGGTGAAGACATAGCAGACTGAGAAGACGTAGTGTGTGCTATAGTGAATTGTAAAGTGCGTGAATCAGCGAAACGGTTGTAATTACTTGTACTTACAGTTTATAAGAGTCAAATAAAGCCACTGACCATCCAGACTCCAAAACTCCATGTCTGGTCATATAAGCACATGACAGTATTTTATATGGATCTCAAGTTATTCATTTTCAGTTTAAATTGAAATTCACATGTTGCTGGGAGAACTGTTATCATATTCTTTGTCTAAATCTTCTTGGGGAGGGTGTCATATTTTGAATTGACACGCTTGCAGAAGAAAACCCTTTGTGTTCAGTGAGATCTCCGGGATGGCAGTTTTGGTTCCCATTAATGGAAAGAAAAAAGAATTTAGCAGGGAACATACAGCAGAAATATTTATTTTCTGTTCTGTGCTGAGCTTCCTGGAATTTCTCATAGAAGGTACATTTTTATCATAAATGAGAAGGGATAACAGCTGTACCATTAACAGGATACCACATACATATAGGGTAATTTAATGCATGGCAGCGAAAAGAATGAATGATGACATGCATAAAGAAAGAGACCTGAAAATGGGTACTGCTCCGTAAGAGTGTTGTGTGTGCGTGCATGTGTATGTGTATGTGTTTGTTTTATGAATTTGTAGCATGTTATCTTGGGTCATGTATACATAAATATGTGAAATATATGTATGATGTGGCATTTCTTTTAACTATATGGCCTTTTTTCCACAATGGTTACTGCCCTCACAGCCCTTTGTGAGCCCTGGCCTTCCTCAGGATTGCTCTCCATTCTTCTCCATTCGATGCTACATTCCTCCAGTTCTTTACACCCAAAATTCTTATGTCCTGCCACACACAGTCTTCCCATCTCCATCGTGGTCTTCCCAGTTTCCTATTTCCTTCTGGTTTAGTATTAAGCATTTTCTTAATCGTTCTATTCTCGCTGGCACGTATTGTGTGTCCAACCCATTCAAGCCTTTTCACCTTTATAAATACAATAATGTCTGGTTCATTAAATAGTTTGTATAGCTCATGGTTATACCTCTTCCTCCATATTCCATTTTCTTCCACTGGTCCAAAGATATATCTCGGGATCCTCCTTTCAGAGATGAACAAACCATATCTCCGAATTAATTGGTGATATTGTCAACAAGAATTGACTGTTTGGAAATGTAGAAATGGGTTCTTATGAACACAATAGCAGTTTCATAAAAGGTGGGAAATTTTGGGTTGTTATTAGCTTCTTGAGAAGAACTCTGGTCAGCAAAACTAACGGAACTGAACTGTGGAATGCATCTATAGGTAATCTGTGTTCATACTTCGTTGGCTGCAATACTTCTGCTGGTAGGATGGCATTATGGTTGTGAAGAACTGCTGGATGAAAGAATAGTTTTCAGCAGGCAACAGATATAATATACCAATACAAATGTTTTGTGATTGATTGGAAGCATTTATTTTAAATATTTTAAATGAGTATAATGTAGAAAAATCTAGTACTCCGTGAGGAGGTTAAATTGATGCCTATTTCAACTATTTTCTTTCAGAAAACATATTAACTCTTAGACTAATATACAATGCTGCACTGCATAGGAAGAAACTGTTGCAGGACACAGGAAGGAAGGAACAGATGATACCGGTGATCACAACGTCTCCTAGTGAGGACCACACATACAGTGCAGGCCCTACAGTAGCTGCTACACAAGGGATTGTCCTTCCAGCATTGTCTTCCCCATCTCCAGATGAGGCATTTGAAGAGGGCTCAGAGTCAGATGACAGGTGAGGGGTTAGCCCTGATTATGTAATGGCAGTATTCACAGTCAGTTACTACAGATAACAGAAGCTTCAGGTGTGCTATGAATGAAGCATTAGATCTATTAAGATATGTGCAGGAATTAGGATAAAGGGTCCCTGACTTTCAGCATCATCTAGGTGGCGTGTGAAGAATTATGGCCATGCCATATGAGCAGTGGGCGGGTTAAGAATTTCGTAGAAATAACTTTATGTTGATAGTACTTCAAGCTCCGATAAATACCTGCAACGCTAGCTGGCAGCACGCATAATTCCACATATTTGTTTCAGACAGTTGTTGCAATTCAGTTATGTCTGTGGTTGGAGCAAATTTTTATTTGGCATATTATTTTATTTGTTTGTTTGCTTGTCTAAAGTAACGAGAAAAGAAACTAGCTCACCTTTCAGTAAGACTCTTGGAAAGCTCTATCTTTTGGGCAAGAAATAGTGACTGGTGTTGGGATTCAGCTCTTTCATCAGTACATCTCCAAATCGACAGCCAGAATCTCCATTGGTAAAGGCTGGAATCTCTAACACTAAAAAAAGTGTCAACAGTGGCAGAGTGTGACCGTTTCGGAAGTGTTGCCTAAGAAGTGCTTTGTGAGCATGCAGCTGAAGTGTGTTAACATTACTTACTTGGCCACCACAATAGCTTGGAATGTCATGCATTCCCTCCTCTTCTTAATCTTGTACTGTGTTTTGCCTCTTCTAATTAATTGCACCTGAGCTCACCAGTGGCTAGCATAAGCCTGAAGGAAGTGTCAACATGCCTGTGGAGGGCTGACTGGTGGTGGCAGATGGTGCATTACCTGATTGCTTCTCAAGCCAGTATGAAGGTTACCACTGCTGAACGATGAAAGTAACACTATTTTTCAAAGTGTTAGCTAGCTAACACAATGTGAATGCTCCACCACTGGTGTCAGATCATCCTTGTAAGTGAAAAAACCTGCAGCTCTGCCGAATGACATGATAAGCAGTACTCATCAATGTGAGTAGTTAAGCCTGCAGTAGTGTTGAGTGGCATATTAAGGAGTGATGATCACTCTTAATTGGTAAGGGTTCTGCTTATGGCACCAATAATTTTATAGAGGTTGATTACGTATTGTGGCGTGTTATATGTCATCCATCGCTGAGCAGTGAAATAATGGAAATTGTTGAGACTGTTGCATAGAACTATCCATAGCAATCAGTGTTTATTGCATAATAACGCTCGGTAAACACCCCACCCCGCTAGGCTGTGACATCACGCAACAAGGGAGCCCATGCAGTGATTGTTGCGAGGCAATCAGTGAACATGTTTTCTTTGCAGTCAGGGCGGAAGCTACATAACGAGAGTGCTCGTCAGTGTTGATTTAGTATTGAGAATGGTGTATTCAGTATTGAGTAATCAGTATGAGTTGAAGTCTAGCAGTATGAGTTGTTGAGTTAATGGAATCAAGAGAGTTGAAGCCTGGAAGTGACTACAGCAGAAGTAATTTGGACAATGAAGTTGTGAATTATGTAAGTGTAAGAGCGAGTGTGCAGTAAATTCACTAGATCCAAGACCGGCGTGAAGTTATTGGTCGTGAGAGTCTACAAACACGTGACAATATGTTTAAATATACAGTTGCTGTTCTTTTTTGTCAAATCATGGCCTCTATACCTAAGGACTTGATAAATAACTGGGATATTCTACAGAATACTTGGCAAGTGTATGTTAATCAAGAATTGTATTGTGAAGCTGTATACCACCTGTATATTATTGTGAGATTGTGGACCACTAGGGAGGAAGGTACGAGTAAATAACAGTGGACAATGGATGGTTATAATTAATGGTGATAAAGGGAATGAGCATCTTTTGATGAGAGTGAGAGTATGAAGCCTGAAAAGAAGAACGATTTCTGCTTCTGTGCATTTGCATACCGTCTCTTGAATAGCTAATGATTAATAAACACTAAAGTAATGATAGGTGCCGCAGGTAGAAGAATTTCCAAAATGCAAGTTGTGCTATTAAGAAGCAGGAAAACTGTATTATAACTTCTTTATAAATATCTGCTATGTAGAATTAAATCCCTGGGGTACATGACTTTCACTTTATAGATGTATTTTCATTTGCACATGGAACATAATTTCAGCTCCCAGGTTGTGTATCGCTATAAGAATACATTGATGGAGGATACTCAAATTGAGCAAGCTTCTTTCCCTCTATCTGATTCTGAAGAGCAGCGGAAGATTGCAGAAGGAGCAGATGCTCTACTCAATCTCGCTGGGATCTCTACTCGCAAACGTGCACAGTCTGCAGTCCTTTATCCACCAGGTAAGATAAAAGAAAATTGTATAATTATCAGTGTCAGACTTTAGGAAACCTTGGTGTATTGTTTATTTGATGTCTGTTATGATTAACTCTTACTCATTTTAAAGAATATTCTTCTCGACTAAGAATTAGCTATGAACTCAGTCAAATATTCTTTTATACTTTTAGTTTGTACTGAAGAGACTTTTTTTTTAGTCTCTTGTTAATCATTCTGTCAAGGTGGGCTAACCATTTTTCAGTTGTCTGTTTTCCATTTCTTAAGTAAAGGCTTAATTCTTTTCATTAACGTTTAGAAGTATGTCTGATTTCTTGTCCTTTGATACTGCAGAAAATTCATTTTTGTGCTTTAAATTTACTACCATATTAGTTTCTTGTACCACACATTTAACTTCTGCATATAATGAATTGTGGGAAGTTGTGTTGTTTTATAAATTTCATCTTTGTTTCTCTTCCTGTTTATCTTTGTAATGTTATTTTTATCTCTTGATACTGATATAATTTTATGATTACCATAAGTTTTATCAGTTTCTGTCAGAGAAAGTGAAACTCAGAAATAAAGAAATTGTAAATAGAAAAAAAAAGCAAGTAGAGAAAAGAAAAACATATTTACTGCTTACTTGAAAACCCAGATCTTACTCTTTGAAAGTACTGAATTGTATTAAGAAGCTGAGAACATAGAGATATCAACAAGTTGTTCTTACTTTGAGCAAAATGTTGTAGTATGAAGTTAAGAAGTAACTGGCATAAAGTTGTCAAAATTAACCAGTTGTAAAAGGAAGGTAATTATTTGTATAAAAGAGTGATTAGTTTGATGAATATGTTAATTGTGACAGGCTTAATATAATTTTGTCTTAGGAAATAATTTGTATGTCCTGTTGATGTACAGCTCCTGTGAAACGAATGACTACGAGAGGGAGGAGGAAAACACCATATCGGCCACGCCTGTTGCGTTCAGTTCGCCCTAATATAAGAAAGAAACCAGAAGAGGGAATACATCAGCATCGCCAGAAGTCACAAGCATTGATAAACAATAACAGTAGCAGCAACAATAACAACATTGCCATGATACCAGGAAACAATGTGAAGGTGCTGAGAACATCGCTCCGATCATCATTTCATGGTAACACCAATGAAAATGAATATAGCCATGAAGCATGTGCAGAGAAGTCTAAGAGGTAGGGCAGAACAATACTAGTGTAATAATTCTTAGCAGACTTTAGCGTGGATTTTCTTCCCCCAGCCCATAGTTATTATTGTATTGATCAATGACAGTGATGCATAATTTATTTTGTGAAAACATGGAATGTGACTGGTGTATTTTGAACTTATCCTTGAAATATTTAAATTTGCTGAGCATTCTTCATTTCCTCACGCTAAATTCAAATAAATTGAATGCTAGTATATAATATTTGTGGTTAGGAATTTACCATTTCTTGATGGTATACTGAGTTTTTATCTGTGAATTCATTTTGAATTCTTGGCTCATGTCATATTAGCTTCTGTGTTTCCAAGGGACAGGAATGGCAATAACTTTCCATGGTTTGGCTTTATGCAGCAATTTCCAGGAATGCATTAACCATGGATGACATGGGATGCCTGTAATGGCAAAACCATATTTTTTTTTAAAGACAACCTGAACTCTAAAATTTATGAAGTTGAAATTTATTAGGGAAACAAAAATAAATGTGTATAATATCAGAGTAAAAAATAATGTGATACAGCATGAGGTTTTTTTAATATGCTCAGGTTATCACAGTGATTTTAATGAGTTCAGTGCTGAAGAAATTGCTTATGTGCTGATGTAGATTACTCATTTACCCACATAAGTATGCATTTATGTGCATAATGAAAATAAAAATTAACAGTAAATTTTTTTAATGCGTAAAATTGGCAATGTTTTTAATTTTAATTAAAGTACTATATTCTTGGAGAATAATTTATTGCTGCTTTTACTGCTTTTTTCATATGTACATTGAAACAAACTAAAGACTTTAAAGAATATACACCTTATGTTCTCCAAGTTTATTCTGTTTACATCGGTAGTATGTCTTTCAAACAAAACATGAAATATCATACTTTCATCCTTTTTGTCTTCAATTATATTAAAGTGGCCACCTCGCTTTCATCTGCAACAAATCTCATCAGAAAGCAGTCTTCTGGGATTTGGCACCGTGTATATGTGGTGTTAACCGACGTTTCGGAGGAACGTATCGCCTCCATCTTCAGGGCAGAAGAAAAAGTATAAGAAATCTGCAAGCGACAAGACCGTGAGAACGGTAAAAGCAGAAACGTCGGTTAACACCACATATACACAGTGCCAAATCCCAGAAGACTGCGTTCTTCATAGTCACCGCCGTGAAAGCCTCAAATCTTACAAATCTCATCGGGTTCTTTCTGACGTTGCCATGAAATTTAACTGATGTATCACCTTTCATCTTTACTCTTATTCTTCACTCTTCACAATGCTCGCTACTGAAACCAGTCTTCACCTCCCACATTATTCACCTTCACTTCATTTTCATTATTTTCTGCCTGAAAACTGAGAGAGTTTGTGTATGAAATGAAATCCGAGAGGACTGGTGAGAGCACTAAAATTCTGTCATGAAACACGTTATTTAGTGTTGCAGTTGGAACTATTGCTGGTCAGTCAGAGCAGCTGCCGTCTTGACAGCTAGGCTGGATGGCCTGGGTTCGAGTCCTGGCAGTGCAAGATTTGTCTGTTCTCCACAGCATCCATAACGATTCTTGGGCCCACCCAGCCTCCTATCTCATGGGCACTAGGGGCTTTGTCCCTGGAGGTAAAGCTTCAGGGGAGTGAAGCTGACCAGATCTTTAACAAAAGGACTGGTGAAAATTGTATGTATAGTTAGTGCCCCGTAACTTTAGCTGCGCGGAAAGGTAAATGCTGTTGTGGAGCACGTGAAGCTGTACACTTGCTGTGGTGACATTCAGAGCTACTCTCTGAGTGGAGAACATTGCCTACAGATACCAGGACTAGTACTATACACCTGAACACACTCCAAGACACTACATTCCATACTGGTAGTACCCACGCTGACGTAAGCTGATAAGACTGCTCCCCCTGCTCCGCGAGAGATGGTATGACCTCTACCACGGCTAGAGTTCCGAGGAACTAACAGTATATGTAAGTGTACTCAGAGTTACTTGTGAGAATATAGTACTGGTATTGCTAGTATTTTTTATTTTGGTATCATTTATACAACCACCAGTATTTGAAAGGAAGAAGCAGGATTATATCCTGGCAACTGAATGTTGTGGAGTGATAGGACTTCTTTTGGTAGGTTGGTGGTCCTAGTCAAGGCTCACAGAGCATCTGTCCTGAATGGCATTTTGTGGCTTCTTTGCTCTCCTGGAAATGCTATGACAGTTCCTTAAAGTAGCCCACAATTACTTCTTCGTAAGTTATATTTCATAATCATTCTTTCTTTTCTCAGTAATGCTACATAACCTAAGAAGTTACCATAGCTTCATTAAATAATGTAACATAGGAAATTAAATACATAATAATTGTTCTGGCAATGCTGTTCTTATTTGGGAACAGCAAATAGTAGTTACCAACAGCTTAGTATATATTCTGCCTGGTCCTTGTGATTAACAGATTATCTTTTCTTCCATGCAGCCCAAGGTCAAGAATTGCAAGGGTTCACAGTGGCATGTAGTATTTTCCTCCCTGGATTTCTGAATAAATACAATTTTGGTGTTATATTTATTCTTGTTGTATGTTGTGTAGAGGATGTATTTTAGTAGTACTGTGATTAGATTGCAGTGTACCAAAAATTATTCCAAAAGAGACTTGTATGCAAAAATGGCCAGTCCATGTTCACTTTATGTTACACCACTGGCAGGGAATGTAACAAGAACTTAACGAAATTTCATTTTTAGAAGGCAGATATTTTTGATGGTAGTCAAGGATAAGTTCAGAAATATCTCACATGACTATGTGGGCAGCAGTTGTACTGCAGCCTTATCTGTGGGTGATGGTTATACCTTGTAGGTATAGATATTGTAATTTGTTTATCTGCATCATCTGGGTCTCTTTGAAATGGACTGTGACTGTCATCAGTTCCCTTCAACAGAGAATCATCGCATGTGCATCAGGTCAAAAAAGGAATAATAATTTTTCCATCAAAATATATTGCCTCATTGATATTCTTGTAAAATGAAAAGATATATGTGACAGCTGAAACAGAAGTATTTCCAACTGGAGTTTTCACCCTGAAACATATGTAATTCAAATATCTGTTATATAGCTGTAAATACACAAATTAACACACATACTGTGATGATATTGTGAATATTTGCAGATTTGTGAAGATCACTGTCTTCAAGGATGTCCTACAGTGAAGTTGGTATGCAATATGTTCCCCTGAAATGTTGGTACCTGTCTCTCAGTATGCATGGTGTCACATCCCAGAAGACAGTGGTCTTCATAGTCACCACCATGACAGTCTAAATCTCGCAGATTTATAGTGTATCTTTAGTGTAACTAAAGCAATAAGATTGTAATGCTGGTGTTTGACAGTTGAACCTGCAGACAAATTGACTGTGGAAAAATTGACCCTGTGACCCCTGTGCAGTGGATGTTCTTGGCTAGCACAGACTGCAATGCATTTCTTTATGTGGCATTTCACAGTCTGTAAATTTTTCTGCACAGTAACAAATAGTACATATTCTGCCACCTTTTGACAAACATTTGGAAGCTCTTCCAGTCATGATGAGGTGGTGAGCTGAGACATTCTCAGCAGTCATTGGGTTGAATGTGGGATCATAGATTTTATGTATGATGGAGATCTGCACATGTAACATAGGAACCCCCAGTTGAATTCTACAAGTGACATGAACTTTGAGACTGTGCATTGTTAAGACAGTGCTGTTTTAACTGTTGAGTCGTCATCAAGTACGTAAGGTGTTCCAAGTCAATTGCCTTCTTCATATAGCTGCCCATTTTATATATCTTTGCGAGTTCTAAAACTTGATGTCTTTCATTGCCTTTCAGAAAATTTAAAGTGTGATTTGTTATACACTTTTTATATGTGTTTCTAGTAGCCGTAATAGGGCAAGGCAGTGGTTTGATTCCCACAATATGATTCAAACCGCCAGCTATCAATTTGTGCTTTTTCTGATCTTTAATTGGTGTCTTTGTCATCTCTCTCATAATAACGGTATTATGCAATATTAATTGCCACATATTCTAATATTATTTGTGAAGACATGGCCTTTAAATACTAGTTCAAAACCACTGTATTTTATTAGAATCAAATTGACTGTTTGATTAGGTAGCAAAAAAGAAAAGCATTTTGCAGAGTAAGTTATAGAAATGCATGTAGCGGGAAGTTGGGTAGGGAAATGCCCTTGTACATCCCATGGCAAACCAGGTGATAACATTGTAACAGCAATAATATCTCTTCTCCCAAAAAATAATGCAGATTTCCTTGTATGAGTGGCATACTGGCCGTTTCCTGTGTTCTTCCTGCTGATAACACCCTTGTTCTCAAACAGGGTACATTTCCTGTGGAATAGAAGCAGTTACATAATCTAGTTGTATAGTCTGGATATTGATATTGCCATTGCAAAAATGAAGAATAGCAAAACCCCAGGAGATGATAAAATTGAAGTATATTTGATAAAAACAGTAGAACCAATAGGAATGCAGGGGCAATATAAAATTATGAGGATGATTTGACAGTAAAATGAGATACCAACCAGATGACTTAACGGAAGATGTAATAATACCTAAATAGCGTGAGAAAGGGATCAAAAATAGTCTGCCATAATTATAGAGGGATAAAACTTCTCACTTACTGATACACACTCTATGAACACATTTTAACTAATAAAATACAAAAATTATAGAAGTAGCCCTAGTTCGGAGCAACTTGCATTTCACTGGGAAAGCTCCACAAGATATTTTTCGTTTACAGTGAAACATGTAACTGAGAAACACTGGGAATTTTCACAGATATGGTAACTGTGTTTATAGATTTTAAAAGGCCTGCAGCAGTCTTACTTGAGAAAAGATTTGGTCAAATTTAAGAAGATTAATAGTACCAGAATATCATAATAGAAAAAGTGAAGCTAACATACAGCAGTTGTGCAGATTTTGTTAACACTGAATTAGGAAGACAAGAATGATTCAGAACAAGTAGTGTAGTGAGAGAAGAAAGTGTCCTATCACCAATCTTGTTCAGTGCCATGATGGATGAGATTACTAATAGAACAAAACACAAGACAGAAAACATTTTCAGATGATGTGTTGAAGTGTGAAAGATGAAAAACGAATTGAAGGGCAACAGAAATGATGGAATTTTATTATGGATATGGACCAGATGGAGACAGTGAAGATTTCAAGGACTTGGAGACAAATATCAGAATAACAGTTAATGGCACGCTTATTTAAGAGGTAGACCATTTATTTATTTTGGAAGTGAAATACATTCAGAAGGAAAAATGACAAGAGAGGTCAGAAGAAGATCGTAAAATAGTTCTGAACTTTAAACATCATAAAATGAAAGTTAGGGAGCAAAGTGATCCCAAAATAAGGCAATACAGTAATATGTAAGTGTGTTTTAAACTGATACAAAC